CATACTTGTAACCCTTTTAAGGGTCAACTCAGGTCAAAGTCAAAGTCAAGGTCAACACCTTGGTCAACATCAACTTTTGGTCAATGTCAACACCTGGTTGACTCGACTCGCTGAGTTGGTCCACCAACTCATCGAGTTCCATAATCCACAAAATGCTGGAAATTCGATCCTACTCGTCGAGTCTTTCAAGAATTCATCGAGTTCTCCTTCATACAGAATCGGGACCTTTTGCTCGTGACTCGTCGAGTTCGTCCTTGACTCATCGAGTTCTTCTTCATATCAATCGGGACATTGCCTTGAACTCGCCGAGTTCATCCTTGAACTCTTCGAGTTCTTTGATCTTCAAATCCATATTCACATCCATCTTGTTGAGTCCTCTTCCAGACTCAACCAGATTGCTCAGAAGTAGAAAAGGTTGTTGAATCATGATCCGACTCACCGAGTCCTATGAACGACTCGTCGAGTCCCCCAAAGTCCAAGTCTATCCAATCAATTTTAGTCGGGCTTAATGCATCCAGAACATAGATCTGACCTCCTAGGATCGACATAACACGTAAAGGTACAAACTTTACGTGTATGCATGGGTTTACTAGTCTATAAAGCCATAAAAAGTGTTCCTTAAGATGCATGGGACTCCCATGGCCATAAAGTTGGCACCTTTATTGTAACATACACGTTAATAACCTAGTATAATTATCATGTTTTGTAAGCTTGATAGCTTAAGAGTGAATATTTTTAAATATAATATGATTTTAAGCGTTGAATTCTAACAAGATAGTTTTTTGAGATTTAAAGTAAACCTATGTTTAGAATCATTCGGAAAATATTGGAAGTGATGGGAAGTCTTATAAGATTCCGATCAAAAAGTTAATTATCGAAATTAACAAAAATATAAAATTTAAGTTCAAAATAAGTAAAACCATTATTATTGAAAGTTGTAAATTATCTTGTTAGAAACGTTTAGGCGAAAACCTCACCGAAATCCGAGTTATAACGAAGAAGTTATGACTTATCAAAGTTGCGCGACAAAACAGGCACAACGTCGTATGACGTAAAAAGTGAGTTTACAATAAACTAACTTTTACCTTTAGTGATCTAAATGAAAGTCGTAGTATTCATTAAATCGAGAACTTTCATAAAAAGAACATCCAAATCTAACTTCATATGAGGAAGTTATGATTTTTCTAAGATTCAGCATAGTAGTGTGCAGCTCGAAATTTGAATTATAGATCGAGCAATTTTTAGATGACACAACCTAAACAAGAATTAAATATCTCGTCAATAGTAGTTCAACGGTAGAAATACAGACAAAAACGGACGTCGAAGGTAGAAGTTGTGAATTTTTAACGGACTTTTCATGTCCCGTCCTATTAAAAATATAATATTAAAAATAAATCAAAATTAACCGACAGAGTCTAAATGAAAGTTGTAGGGTATAATTTCACCTACGCGTGGATATAAAGAACATAAAAAACGGAGCCCGTATGTGAATGATATTAATTTTTGAAGTTCAGAGCACAAACTTCGAGACCTGACCAAGCTCACGGCGTAAGCAAGTATGGTTTATGATGTGAGGAAGTCCATCAACACCTCTCAAGCCTAGAACACACACGACAAGCCTACACGTTGATCAAGACAAACTCACGACGTGAGCTTGTATGGCTCATGACGTGAGTGTCGAAATTTCGAACTATAAATAGAGGGCCTACCCTCTTTGTTCCATTTACACGAAAACGCAACCCTCTCTCCTGTATTGCTAGTTTTGAGCCATTTTCCTGATCGGAGATTGTTAACTGCTGACTGTGTTTAGTCAAATTCTACCGGTAAAAACACACTTAAGGGGTAATTTGATAGCAACATTCGGTTAGTTCAAAGTGAGTTCAATATAGGGACAATTGTATGTTATGTGTTATATGTGCAATGTGCTTTCCTGTGTTATTCTGGTATTGGTTTTATATTGTTGATCATGTAGATCATGTCTCGTATCACTTTTGGTATTGGCTTTGAGCCTTTGGCCATGTAGAGCATGTCTTTTATTATTATAGTATTGGATTTATGCCTTTGGCCATGTAGAGCATGTCTCATATCACTTCTGGTATTGGCTTTGTGCCTTTGGCCATGTAGAGCATGATGCGTATCACTTTTGGTATTGGCATAGGACTAGGTAGGGCTGAAAGCCTGTATATTCTAGCAAAATGACAATCTAAAATTGTATTTTTCTGTGCCACTTGGGCTGAAGTTTTATGATGTATATCATGTTGAAATTGTTGTATCTCATTGATTGTAAATCTTTGAATCAAATCATTTGTTGATATGGAAAGCCTGACATATGATACACGTATGCCTTTTTTGTTCTTTGTCCTTCTTTTCTTATGTCATATTGTTATATATATATATGGCATAGCGTTATATTGTATCTATTGTTGAACTCACTTAGCGTCACCCGCTTATCCCTCTCGATGTTTAACTATTACAGGTGATAAGCATCAAGTATAGTCATGTACTGTTGGAAGATTTAGAATAGTTAATATTATTACTTTGTGTACTTAGTGTTCATATATGTATATGAATTATGAATTCCTGGGTAGTTATGTAAAATATAAAACCTTGTAAAAATCTTAATAGTTGGTTTGCATCCATGCTTTTTGGGTTTTAGACCATCAATGTAAATTATATTGTGAATATGCATGTAGCATGTTTGGAGTAATATGATAAAGTTTAAAGAAGGGGTTCTCTCATTTATGTCATGGAGTCCCTCTAAGACTCTAGATCCGAAGTCCTAACACCGGAACAAGCTTGCATTTATGAATGGTTCCATAATGAGCCCCAAATGGCCCTAAACTACCCCATGGAGAGATCTAATGAATGAATGAGCAAGGTACAAACTTTATACCTCAAATGAGCTAGGAATGTGACAAAATCTCTGGATCTACTTGATCTCCCAAGCTTCCCCTTTCTTCTCAAGCTTCAAAAACACACAAAATGGCACAAAAAGCTCAAGAACACTCACAAAATCATTAGGGTTTCGAGAATAGGATTTGAGGGTGATGGAGGCTAGAGTGGAGGCCATATAAGTTGTTTAAATAAGGTGCAAACCCTAAAATTTAGGTTTTCATCCAGACAGATCTACTCATCGAGTCGGGGCTTCCGAATCATTGAGTAGACTCTTCCACCCGCGTCCAAGACTCGTCGAGTCCCAGTATAAAAATGCAAAAACTTATATTAAAAATACGTACCTGGAACCAGGCGTTACAACTTTCCCCCATTTATTTCATACTTTGTCCTCGAAGTCTTTCGTTGCATCTAGAAAAAGCTCGGGGTAGTGCTCTCTCATCTCCTCCTCTAGCTCCCAAATCCATTATGAGCCCTTGCGGTGCTTCCATTGCACCTTCACCAGCTCGAACCTCTTGTTCCTCAGATCCTTTGACTTCCTGTCGAGGATAGCTACCGATCGCTCGATGTAGTTCAGGCTGTCATCCACCTGAATATCCACTAGAGGCACCACTGTAGAGTCGTCTACCAGGCACTTCCGCAGCTGGGAGACGTGAAAGGTACTGTGAACCTGGCTAAGCTCGGCTGGAAAATCCAGCCTATACACCACCTTGCCTACCCGGGCAGCGAACCCTAAAGGGACTGATGCACCTGGGGCCCAAATTTCCCTGCTTCCTGAACCGGATGACACCTTTCGGAGGTGACACCTTCAGGAGGACCATATCCCCGACCTGGAACTCCAGGTCCAAGCGGTGCCTGTCTGCATAACTTTTCTATCGACTCTGAGAAGTCTGAAGGCTACTCTGAACCTGCTGGATCCTCTCTTTCATCTTGAGTACCACTTCGGTACTCCCCATGACCCTCTTCCTAACCTCACTCCAAGCATATCGGGGTTCTGCACTTCTTCCTGTATAACATCTCGAAGGGAGGACGGTCAATACTCGCGTGGTAGCTATTATTGTAGGAAAACTCTGCCAAGGGAAGGTAGGTATCCCAACTACCACTGAAGTATAAAACGCATGCTTACAACATATCCTCCAAATTTGTTATGACCCGGGATGTAGATCTCGTGACAGGAGCTATTGTGCTTCCTACAGTCGTGAGTATTACTAACACCTAATCTCCTATTGAGAGGAGACTAGGTTAAACTATTCTAAGATATTAAAAACAATTGACTTCAAGCATAATTATATTTCATGAACGACTACCCTTTAAATAAGGATAAATAAAGGACTCTAATAAGGAAACTAGATCACCCAAATTGACTCAAATACTAAATGATCCTAATTACCAAATTAAAAACCGAAACAAGATAATTTCCTAAAATAAGATACTTTCCAAAAATTAAAATACTTATTATCCGTATGATTCATAACATTACCCCCCTCCTACGCATTGAGCTTGTCCTCAAGCTTAATAATCATTCATTAGCGTCATCTTCTTCATTGTCCATCATGATGCAAAAGAGCTTGGCACATTTATGCCCAATCGAGAATATTTCATCACAGTTGAAGCACAAGCCTTTTTGCCCGCCTCTCTGCCATTTCTACAGCCATTAGTTTTTTCCAGGCTGGATTTAGTGTTTCAATTTTGTAGTTTCCAGCTCCCCCTTTTCCTGCAGACTCTCGTTTTTGGCTTCCAATCGAGATTTGGTTTCCTGTAGGCCCGAACCCTATTGGTTGTCCTGCTTCGGCCACCCTTAGCTCAATTTGTCTGGCTAGATTCATGGCATAGTATAGAGTTATGGGTCTCGCAAATTCAACCTCATATCTTATCATATTTATTAGCCCTACACAAAAGTACCACATGCTTTGTTCTGGAGTTACTCTGGTCGTTCTTCCTAATAGAGACTCGAAACTTGCACAATAGCCTTCCACCGTGCCGGTTTGCCTGAGTTGAGTTAGTTCTCCTAGCGGTTTCATACTCATCGGAGGCCCAAAACGAATTTTTCACTCTTCCAAAAACTCGTTCCAGGTTGGCCGTCCTTTCATCCGCCTCAAATTCCGATACTAGTCGCTTGCCTTACCTTGAATAACAAAGGTTGCCTGACGAACCCATGCTTCAATTGGAGTTTGTTGTTCTTCAAAGAAATCTTCGCACTTCTGTAGCCAAGCCAGGGGTTCGTCCTTGCCATCATAAGTTGGAAACTCCATCTTTGTGAATTTCGGCACCCTAGTTGCTTTATACCCATTGACTTCATCTGTTTCGTCCCATATTTTGAACCCCTGTTCTGGTTCTGTCCTCCTTTGATACATAGGGTCTTGATCAACTTTTCAATTATGTGTTGACGCCTCACCTTTTAAAGGATCCCACTTATATTTGAACTTCGGTTGGTAAGTACTCCTCCATGATTCTGATTCATGTGCCTTCCCTGTGCCGTTAGGGTTTATTGCAAACCCCTTCCCTGCATTGTTAGGGCTTATCCCAAACTCTCCTCGTCCTCGTCCTACCCCCGTTGAGGATATGAATCCCCTTTTGTCTTGCGCGACCAAATTAATACCCTTGCCTTTACCCTTGTTGGGTTCTTCGTTGTCTTCAAATTGTTGTTCACCTTCTTCCTCCACGCTAGCTTCTGATCTGTTTTTAGAGTTTGTCTGTTTTGACAAACCTTCTTCCAGGGACACATATTTAGCTTGTAAGTCTGCAATCGCCCCTTTAATCTCTTTATTGCTCTGTTCCTGTCGAATCATGAATTCCTCCAACTTTTTCATCAAATCTTCTGCAAGAGTCGCCATCACGAGTGGCTTCTGGATGGTTCGCTTGCTCTGCCCATCCGTCTGCGGGTGAAAAGCGGTGCTGAAGTGCAGAAGAGTACCCAACTCATCGTGAAACTTCCTCCAGAATCTAGAAGTGAACCGCACATCTCTGTTAGAAATCATGTAGACTGGCACTTTGTTTCGTGCTACAACCTCTTGAATGTGTATGTTAGCCAGCTTCTCGGCCGAAATGCTCTCCTGGATCAGAATGAATTGGGCGCTCTTGGTCAATCGATCCACGATGACCCAAATCGAATCCACTCCCCGTGCGGTCCTGGGAAGCTTGGTGATGAAATCCATAGTAATATCTTCCCATTTCTACATAGGGATATCCAATGACTGTGTCTTTCTGTGAGGCCTCTGGTGCTCGGCCTTGACCTTCCTGCAGGTCAGACATCTCTCAGTGTACCAGGCTACATCTTCTTCGCCCTGAAATGGATAGAAAACCTGAAATGCAGGGCCACCAGTAGTCGAGGTGAAGATCTATGTACATCTTTTTCGCCCTGAAATGGATAGAAAACCTGGATTTGTGGGTCTTATCCATCAAAATCTGTCGTACTTTGCCCCAGTATGGAACCCAGGCCTTCCCGTACAGGGTCAGCAACCCATAGTTGTCAAAGTAAAACGAGGCCACCTAGCCTATGATCCACTCACACTTCTGGCGCTCGTCCTTCATGCCCTCAACCTATGCCTCCCGAATCTGCTCCAAAAGTGGAGTCACCACCGTCATCCTCATCCAATTATCTCTAATCGAGGTTGTCTTGTGACTAAGCGCATCGGTCACAACATTGGCCTTCCCCGGGTGGTAAAGGATCTCATAATCTTAATCCTTCACCACATCTAGCCACTGACACTACCTCATGTTCATATTTGGTTGATCCATGACGTACCTCAAAATCTTGCGGTCCGTGTAAATGGTGCATCGGACCCCATAGAGTCAATGCCACCAAATCTTGAGGGCGAAAACAACTGTTCCCAACTCCAGATCATGCGTCGAGTAGTTCACCTTGTGAGGGTTCAACTGCCTCGAGGCGTAAGCGATGATGTTCCCCATCTACATCAATATTGTGCCCAAACCTGATATGGACGCATCGCAGTATAATACAAAATCCTCCATGCCCTCTGGCAGGGCTAGGATCGACACCTCACATAGCCTCTATCTCAACGTCTCAAACGCTTCTTACTGCTCAAGCTCCCAGCAAAACACCATGTCTTTCTTCGTCAATCAAGTCAAGGGTATGACTATCTTCGAGAAGTCTTAAATGAATCTCGAATAATAGCCTACCAATCCCAGGAAAGTTCGAATCTTAGATGGAGACTTCGGAACCTCCCATCTCATCACGGCCTCTACTTTGGCCGGGTCAACTAGAATACCATTCTTGTTGACAAGGTGTTGGGTTATGAGCATTCTAACACTCCTAAGTGTACATGCAACCCTAAATACCTTGGATCTATGTTTTCTCTATTATACATGCAAATATGAATACTCCAAGGTATTACCCTAACTAACATACAATCTTTTGATACTTAAATAATATACTAGATATAAATACATACCTTTTTGATGTAGCTTAACTCCATGAAGCTTGAGATCCTAGTGCCCCAAGTGTGACACCTCAAATGGTTCATACAACATCAAATACACATGGAATAACTTAGAGAGAAATTATACACTTCATGAAATCGGCTAGCCCTCACCATTCCTTCATTGTCTCTCATGGTCGCCGATTTTGACAAGAATAAGATGCTTATATAGTATGTCACAATTAGGTTTACACCATGTAAACCCTAATTGTCATGGCCGCCTTTCATTTCCATGATCCATGGGTACAAAAACACCATGGAGCATCCTATGGGTTTTAGCCCAACTTGATAATCCATGGAGCATTAGCCCACTATACAAGTATGGATGATTTACACAATCAACCCATATATTTAATTAGTCTCCTTTTGATCACTTAATTAATTCCAAATTAATTCTTGATCAATACTAATTAAATAATCTTATTAACATATTAGAACTTATAATATATTACCTAACCTTAAGTGTTATTTCTCTCATTTTAGTCTATCCAAATGCATGATTCCATGCAACCCAAATAGACCATTCCAAGTTGGGTCAAGTACATACCAAATATAGTTATGGACTTAGACACTAATCCAACAGTCTCCCACTTGGATAAGTCTAAAACTATTATTGAGTATGACTTCAAGAACCAACTGGCAATCATATCTCTCAAAAGCCGTTGTTGAACTTTGACCTTGTCGATGAACTCTGACCTTTGTCAATGACTTGTCCATTTTATAAAGGATCATATATTCCTCCATTCTAGATATCATATGGACTAAGACATGGATAAAAAATCATTCTCTCTGTCCATTTGTTTTTTTCCTGATTTCCGATTCATGATGACTGACTGATTGAACAGATCAAATCAGTCCTAGCTTGGCCAAGCACTCACATGTATCATCAATAAATCATCGAGGGGCCCACAGATATCGCTTTTATCCCGAACGTAAAAGGAATGGATAAAATTCGACTCATATGGCTTGTTCTACTACTTGTTGAATCATACACAAATGCATGTTTTATAACATCGAGTTACCAATGCGTTTTCATGCAATCAATGTATAACCAACTTATAGTAACAACTCATATCTCTAGGTTTGAAGAATATAAGATATTATCGTCTCATGATCACTCGTGATGAAATCCATGAAGTGATTCAAATGAGCGCGGGTTGAATCCAGCACTCAAAACTTATGAGCATTCATGAGTGTTGTAGCACCACTTTGTCCAACATATTAGACCTCTAAAAGCCAACCCATGACAGTCTTGATTCATATCTACTTCCAACATATGACCGACTGTGGATGGTTTGAATAACTTAGTCAATCAGGAAGAACGACCTAGTTATTCTGGAAGTTAAAACATGCAAAGTGAAGCACAAGAATAATCGAATCCAATATGGTCTCAGAACTTATGAATATAAATAAAACGTGTTTTATTTATCACCATAATGGTTACCCATGATTCATTGCATACTGTTTCAAACTATCAACTATATACTTGAATTAAAAACACTAGTTGTCCCATGTTCCAAGCATGTACACTATGTTTTACTAAACAATAGCTTTGCCATACACTAAGTATGCACTCTATGTTTGTCTATGATCCTTACTTAGTGAAATTAACCAATTGAACACAATTTCAATGATTCTAATTTCACACTCCCAAATCCTTATCGAAAATGTAAGAATTCCAAATTCCTATCATTTATCGAAATCTGTTAGATTTTAAACTTATATGCATAGATCATCTTGTACTGACTATGTACAAAGTCATAAAGACTTGTCAAAAGACATTACAGAGTATTCCAATGGAGATCAATTCCATGAGAAACATCCTTCTTGCATTAAGTTTTCTAATCTTACATATATTGATAAACTTCCACCTATAAAACATTCCCATTTTGACTATCACTTCTGAACAAGAGTTGCCTCTTTTTAGTATATGTCAATATGGTCCTCTCCAAACATTTACACTATACTTCCAACCGTTCCTGAGCAACCAATCTTTGGTAAACCATAGATTGTCCTTTACAATTGCTTAATCATTTAAGTCATATCCAGTTCTATACCTTTTCCCTCTTAATACCCCAGGCATTTGGAAAATTTAGAAATGAAAAATATTATAGCACATGTAATCGATCTTGTACCCAAAACAAATGGGACATGATTCATGATGGCTCACATAAAGACATGATTCTAGACCAGTATTTTGCTATAATATTTTTATTTTCCAAGTTCTCATAATTCAAATTATGAAAAGGGATGCCGTAATCATAATCGAATTTTAGAACGCAAATAATAGACCCATATATAGAATTTCCTTGTGTTGAGCCATTGCAACACAAAATTCATATATATATATATATATATATATATATATATATATATATATATATATATATATATATATCCTTGACTAAAGATGATTAAAACCTCAATCTAATCTTTTAGAATTGAAATGAAGTATAATTTACTCTCCCTTAATTATAGCAAAACAACTTTTCAACCACTGCAACTCCACGAATTAAAACTTTTGTTTTCTATAATTAACATTGCTAACTTGCAACCTTTATCATAATTATCATGCTCCCACTAACATGATGATTTTTAGCACAACACTTTTACTTGTAACAGCCCGGAATTTCAGGTATTTCTTTAAATTATTTTTGGGGCACATTTAGGAGGGGACTCGGCGAGTTGGTACATGACTCGCCGAGTAGGACCATGGTCTTGGTCGCAAATACGCGACTGGACTCGACGAGTCCAATAGGGACTCGGCGAGTCGACGCTGTTCGGCTGAAACCCTAGCCGTTTTGATTCTGAATCGTATATAATGCCTTTAGGGCCGTCATGTCGCGTCTTTTGGCCGATTGAAGATACCTTAGGAGTCTGTGGGCATCTGGAGCAAAGGGTGAGGGCTAGTGGAAGCTTGAAGAGGTTGTAGACAAGGAGAGGCAAGGTGGTGATCAAAGGAGGTTCAAGGGGTCGAGTTCTGAAGGTTGGGGACACAGGGAACACGTTTCCAGGTAATATTCGGATCATATTGTAGCTTTTACGTTGTATGCGAATTTAGGGTTTAGGAAACCCATTTAAGGAATTGATAGATTATAGTGTTGTTACAAGTGTTTAAACCCTGTAATAGTATATGTGAAAGTCCAGGAAGCCCCATATCTATATACTAGAATCATGCAAGATACAGGAGGCAGCGAATTGACTGCATGGCGAGGACTCGCCGAGTTGTCTTCAGACTCGGCGAGTAGCTTGAAGATTCACTAGGACTCGCCGAGTTGTTCTTCAGACTCGGCGAGTAGCTTGAAGATCTACTGGAACTCGTCGAGTCGTTCTTTAGACTCGGCGAGTGGAGTCGGGGTGTCTAGACTCGCCGAGTTGCCCTTTGCACTCGACGA